ACAGGAACAGGTGATCTTTTGGAATACAGTATGATTACAGGAACAGGGCATCTTTTGGAATACAGTATGATTACAGGAACAGGGCATCTTTTGGAATACAGTATGATTACAGGAACAGGGCATCTTGTAGCATACAGTCTGATTAAAAGGATATGGCATCTTGTAGCATACAGTATGATTAAAGGGATAGGGCATCTTTTGGAATACAGTTTTATTACAGGAACAGGACATCTTTTGGCATACAGTATGATTAAAGGGTGTGGCATACAGTATGATTACAGGAACAGGTGATCTTTTGGAATACAGTATGATTACAGGAACAGGGCATCTTTTGGAATACAGTATGATTACAGGAACAGGGCATCTTTTGGAATACAGTATGATTACAGGAACAGGGCATCTTGTAGCATACAGTTTGATTAAAAGAACAAATTTCTTTTTGAGCACTGAATCATTAACAGTATCTTACATGCAACTTTGACAAGTGTTTAATCTATAAACATTCATGTGTATATCATTTTAAAAGGTTTTGAATTGATTTGTTGTTTCAAGGGAACGCTGCCGCACAGTAAATAATGTGCTTGGAGATTGCTATGTTGCTGCTTGGGTTGAAAAAATATTTGAAAAGAAGTTTGCTTCAGACCATTCTCACCAGGTGGCGCAAGAGTTGGAGGATGCAACCACTGATAACAAATGATTAGATATATAACTAACTGCAAAGAAGATCAAATTAAAAATCATATTATTTGTGAAAATTTCTATGACAAATTGAGTTTTATTTTACATAAATATTAATGTTTTAAACAGTGTAACCAGTTTACTTAAATAAAAGAACAAAAAAATATGAAAATAAACTAGTGATTTATAAAAGTTGTCAGTGTAACGGCTGTTAAGAATGTTGCTGAAAGAGAAGAGAAGGAATAAGGGAAGTAAGGAAATGACGGGAGTTTGGGGGAATCGAAAAAAGGCATGAGAAGCGAGGCTGAGGAGCATTATAGCTGTCAGTAGTTGGCAAGAGGAGACAGGGAAGGTTGGATTAAAGAAATCATGGTGATGTGTAGAGGAGGGCAACCCCTGCTAAAGAAGAGTATAACTTTGTGCTTATTATCAAATCTCATGTGTTTTGTATTATGACAATTAGTCAATAAATATTGGTTTACTTTTCATCGATTTGAAATCTGTTCATCCACTTACCACTGGCTTCTATGTTGCAGTAAAATGTTAATAATTGATGTTTATTTTTAATAGATAGTGGGTGTCAGAACAGGAGGAGGGGGCAAGATCCCACTTGAGATATTTATGATATCTAATTACACTATTAATTCATTTATTATTGGATATATGTTATAATAGCTAGTGGGTGTCAGAACAGGAGGAGGGGGCAAGATCCCACTTCAGATATTTATGATATCTAATTACACTATTAATTCATTTATTATTGGATATATGTTATAATAGCTAGTGGGTGTCAGAACAGGAGGAGGGGGCAAGATCCCACTTCAGATATTTATGATATCTAATTACACTATTAATTCATTTATTATTGGATATATGTT